CCTCTCCTCCCCCTTCTCCCCCCTCTCTCCCCGCCCCCACAGGAGGCTGGTATTGCCACAGCAGGGAAAGCTGCGATGCGCGATTCGCGTCCCTCCATCATCATGAGCTCGGCGACTGGCCCACACGCGCACAGGTGAGTAAGGAGGAGGAGGAGGAGTGGGTGCCACGTGACCACCCTCTTCGCCCTCATCTCCCCCCCACGCCACCAACCCCACGTGGAGTGTGACGGTTCACCAGCAGTGATTGTTGCGGCGACGCCTGCCGCTGCTGTCGAGACGCCGTGAGTCGAGACGCCGTGAGCCGAGACGTCTTCCGCAGCGTTGCGCGTGTCGAAGCAACAATGATGCGCGCTGCTGCGACGGTGGACAACTCCCACGAGGTCGTGTGGTGATGGGATGTGCTACAAAAAATGTTTATGTCGAGGGACAGATGTGGAAAAGAACTCCACAAACTAAACTTTAAAAAACGAAACTTTTTATTTTAACTAACCTTTTTAAATCTAAAGCTTTCGTGACTGCAGGGATTCATTCTTCTTGGTTCTTTCGGTAAAGTCACGTAGAAGGGAAATAAATATATAAAATCATGTTTTATTTGTATTATTTATTATTTCCCTTCTACGTGACTTTACCGAAAGAACCAAGAAGATACACTTTTTTAGTCTAACTAAAAACTAAACTTAAAACAATTGTTATTTTACCAGATAAGGCCCCACGGAGCGAAATCGCTCTTTTCCCGAAGCGATGATAGCTCAACGAAGTGGTTTATCATCATCGTGTGGAAGTGTACAGCAGCTACGCACTCGAAACCTCCCCCACCACCACAGCCGCTACAGCACGTGCACAGACCCTGCTCCTCTGTTGCTATTGGCGTTGATTTTGTTGTTGACGCTCTTGTTGTTGTTGATGCAATCGTCGCTATTGTTGTTATTGTTGTTGACGCTATTGTTGGTAACACTATCGTCGCTGTTGTTGTTATTGTTGGTGACGCTATTGTTGTTGAGGTGAGGCGGTGCAGGGCTGGGTTGCATAGTTCAACCCCTCCTTAATCCGAATCAAAACAACTTTGAAGAGACTTTCAGGGGCACGCTGACATCGCTGTGATGTGACGTCTGTTTTGTCTCTCTCCCCCCGTGGTTCCCCTCCCCCCGTGGTTCCCCTTTCCCCCGTGGTTCCCCTCTCCCCCCGTGGTTCCCCTCCCCCCCGTGGTTCCCCTCCCCCCGTGGTTCCCTCTCCCCCCGTGGTTCCCCTCTCCCCGTGGTTCCCCTCTCCCCCCGTGGTTCCCCTCTCCCCCGTGGTTCCCCTCCGTGGTTCCCCTCTCCCCCGTGGTTCCCCTCCCCCCCGTGGTTCCCCTCCCCCCCGTGGTTCCCCTCTCCCCCCGTGGTTCCCCTCCCCCCCGTGGTTCCCCTCCCCCCGTGGTTCCCCTCTCCCCCCGTGGTTCCCCTCCCCCGTGGTTCCCCTCCCCCCCCCGTGGTTCCCTCTCCCCCCGTGGTTCCCCTCTCCCCCGTGGTTCCCCTCCCCCGTGGTTCCCCTCCCCCCGTGGTTCCCCTCTCCCCCCGTGGTTCCCCTCCCCCCGTGGTTCCCCTCCCCCCCGTGGTTCCCCTCTCCCCCCGTGGTTCCCCTCCCCCCGTGGTTCCCCTCCTCTCCCCCGTGGTTCCCCTCTCCCCCCCGTGGTTCCCCTCTCCCCCCCCGTGGTTCCCCTCCCCCCATGGTTCCCCTCCCCCCCCCGTGGTTTCCCCTCTCCCCCCGTGGTTCCCCTCCTCTCCCCCCCCCCCGTGGTTCCCTCTCCCCCCGTGGTTCCCCTCTCCCCCCCGTGGTTCCCCTCTCCCCCCGTGGTTCCCCTCCCCCCCGTGGTTCCCCTCCTCTCCCCCGTGTTCCCCTCTCCCCCCGTGGTTCCCCTCTCCCCCCGTGGTTCCCCATCTCCCCCCGTGGTTCCCCTCCCCCCCGTTGGTTCCCCTCCCCCCGTGGTTCCCCTCTCCCCCCGTGGTTCCCCTCTCCCCCGTGGTTCCCCTCTCCCCCCATGGTTCCCCTCCCCCCCCGTGGTTCCCCTCTCCCCCCGTGGTTCCCCTCCTCTCCCCCCCCCCCGTGGTTCCCCTCTCCCCCCCGTGGTTCCCCTCTCCCCCCGTGGTTCCCCTCTGCCCCCGTGGTTCCCCTCTCCCCCGTGGTTCCCCTCTCCCCCCGTGGTTCCCCTCTCCCCCGTGGTTCCCCTACCCCCGTGGTTCCCCTCCTCTCCCCCGTGGTTCCCCTCTCCCCCCGTGGTTCCCCTCTCCCCCCGTGGTTCCCCTCCTCTCCCCCCCCCCCGTGGTTCCCCTCTCCCCCCGTGGTTCCCCTCTCCCCCCCGTGGTTCCCCTCTCCCCCGTGGTTCCCCTCCTCTCCCCCGTGGTTCCCGGCTGCAGGGAACGGCATCCTGTCTCCGCGCCCCGAGGAGAACCCGCACTGGTGGAACGCAAACACCGTGTAAGTGGCGAGGGGGTTTGGGCGGCTGAGTCTCAAGGACTCGCTTCAGGAGGGCCCTACCAAATTTTTTTTTTTTACAGAAGAGGGGCGATGCTGCTGCTGCTGCTGCTGTGTGTGGTCCCAAATGATAAATTAGCACCGGTCCTGGGCCTTCCCTAGGTCGGCTCAGCCTCAAGTGAGCACCTGGCGTGGTGTGTAAATGCCAGCAATGGGGAGACAAAGTCGGCGGGCGAGGCGCTGTCCAACCACCCCCTCGTGTGCCGTGCCGGAACCTTCGTTGGTGCCCGCTCTCGGTACTTGCTCCATCGGTCTGTTAAAGTCGACACGGGAGGGGGGGGGGGTATATAAATGTGTCGTCAAACCTGCCACCACTCAGCCGATTAGTAAGGGTTGTCACGTGAACAGAACATGCTAATTCGTCACTAGTACAGCAAACCGGTGTGTTGGAGAGCCAAGCCACAACATTTACAATCTGAGTACGACGTTTTGCCAGTAATTACAATCAGCATCATCAGGCGATGGCCAGATTCTCTCCAACGCACCGGTGTGCTGTACTAGTAACGAATTGGCATGCTCTGTTTATGCAACAAACCTTACTAATCGGCCGTGTCGGGTGGTGGCGGCTTTAACGACACATTTATATATTTACGCGATCTAACCCAAAACACTCCTGTATTATCGATAATATTGGTCGCGAAAGCCTGGTACATGTTCAACGGAATTTTTGTAATTTGCCAAATTTGGATGATGCTGGCAAGCAACGCTATATTCTTCTCGGTGACGCGAGGGGATTCTTGACATCCACTCTGAAGCACGAGGCGCATATTTTACGGTGAATACACCCACGGCATTAATCAGGACAGCCCACCAGATTGTAAGTGGACCTCGACAACAAGCGGTGAACGCACTGCCTCTGGACCACATCACTGCCCAGCCAGAAAGTCTCCGTGTCAAACGGGCGGGGGGGGGTGTATCTTTATCTTTGTGTGTGTGCAGCAGCAGCGTAGCGGTTAGCGCTACGCTGCGCTACGAGCCTGGCGAGCCGGGTTCGATTCCCGCTGGGCCTCCGCTAGGTCGACTCAGCTTCAAATGAGTCCCTGGTGCGATGTGAGCATCGCCACGGGGAGACAAAGACGGCCGGGCGTGGTGTGGCCACCCACCCCCTCGTGTGCCGTGCCGGCCTTCATAGGTTTGCTCGCTAAGAGCACTTGCCCAACGGTGTGTTAAGGCTACACGGGGTATCTTTGTCTTTGTCTGCTGCAGCTTCGTGCCGTACTGCTCGAGCGACGTGTGGAGCGGGAACGCGCCCGCGCTCCAGTCGAGGTGAGTTCCCCGCCGCAGCGACGGCCTTCACCGAGTCTCGAGGCCTCCGTGATCTGGAGGGTTCGTGCCGCTCTCGACCCCCCGCCCGTGACCCCCCCCCCCCCCCCCCGACGCTCGCGTGGGTCACCCGGCTGGAACTCAAAATCGGCCTTCGGCTCCGTGCGCGCCGGGTGGATTGAGTAGCCGATTGAGTGGGTCACTCGGAGGCCAATCGATTCGTGGATATGGATTGCGTGACTTGTTGGTTGAGTGATTGGTTAATGAATTCAATGAGTGGATCGGTTTATTCATTCATCGGTTGCTCGGTGGGTCGAGCCTTTTTGTTGAATGGTTGATCGGTCGCTTGTGTTCGTTGGATGATTCGGGCGACTGGGTGCTTTATTGATCCTCTGATTTTGAGCAGTGGGTTCATTGGTTCAAGTGGCCGATCATTTGTCCAAACAGCTGATGTGATTATTGGAATGGGCTGGTTGAGCGACTGCTGCATTGGTTAATGAAATAAAATTCATTTTCAAAAATTCCCTTTTGGGCGTGTGTCCATCTCCCGTGCCCCCCCCCCCGTGCCGACCCTCCCCCCTCGCCCCCAGGTGGGTACGCGTTCCTAGGGGCGCGGATCCTGCGGGAGGTGGTGGTGGAGCTGGTGAGGCACGGGATGGGTCACGCGCGCACCATCATGCTGGCGGGCAGCAGGTGAGTGAGTGGTGGTTGCTGGTGGTGGGGAGCTGCCGTGCTCCAAACCCAGCGAGCCGAGTTCCGATTCCCGCTCGCGGCCAACGCCGGTGACGATTGTCTTAATTTGTCCTGGACCCATCCCCTAGGTCGACTCGGCCTCAAACATCGTCACTCGGGGGGGCAAAGGCGGCTGGGCTTGGTGTTGGTCCAGCCACCCCCTCATGTGCCGTGCGGCCCTCAACGGACACTTGCCCGAACAGTCTGTAAGGCTATACGGGGGATATTTGTCTTTGGTAGCGCGTGGTGTTGGTGGTGGTGGCACGGGTTGGACATTATAACGATAAAACAAATTCAATACGTCAACAGCGGTGTGATGATGATGATGACGACGACAAACATCTTCAACCGTGACATTCCCATTGCTGGATGGCGCCACAGCCCCACCGAGCAGCCCACCGCTCCGTCTCCGCGGCTGCCACTCCGTGCTTAGTCTCCCCTGCCCCCGCCGCCACACTACGTACATTCACGGCCCCTCCGCCCGCTCGCTCGTCTCAATGCGCTCCACGGCGTTGCTTTGTCTCGAGTCCGTTCTGCTGCGACGACGCTCTCCATCGACGCCGCGCTGCTGATGGGACGTGTCAGAACGACTTTGCACCAGTGCCGGATTATCCTAGGAGTAAAAGTAGATGTATATGCAGTAGCTGCATATGTAGTAGCTACTACATATGTAGTAGCTACAACATAGTAGCTGCATGTAGTAGCTACTACATAGTAGCTGCATATGTAGTAGCTACTACATATGTAGTAGCTACGGGCCCCGCACTTTCAAGGGCCCCGTGCTAAATGCTTTCAAGCTATCAATTCCGGTTCAGTGATTCTGCACTTGCTATAATACTATAGTACTATACCGCCTTCCACTTTTACGAACGACATGGTATTTAAGGCTAGCGATTCTTCGTATTATTTCACTGTATAGCAGATGAAAAAATAAAATTACTTTACAATGCGAGTTAAAATTTTGTGTTTCAATATTTACGTTTTTTTTGGGGGGCTTAGGGCCCCTTCATAACATATGCTACAGACCCCGCGCTAGCTTCATCCGGCACGGCTTTGCACGTGCGTTTTTTCCCTTCTCTCGCGTGGGGACACGGAGACGCGAGCGAGCCGCTGCGTCTGCTCGCGCGCATGCCTGGCGACACCTCCAATCCGCGTGCTCCTCTACCCCGTCTCTTGCTGCCGTCTCCAGCGAGCTCCGCTCCATCCTTGGGGGCTAGGGGGGGGGTGCTTTCGTTGCATCTTCTCCCGTCAACGCGGCCCTCAAGTTTGTTGTGACTCTGTCAGCGGCGCTTTGAAATCCATCTGGAAAGCCCGACCCGGTTTACCCCATTGGCTGGACGTCAGCTGTGCCACGATTGTGATTTAGTACGCGTGGCTTTGATCACGGTTGGGACTTTCATGCTGCCTCCATCCATCGCGAGTGTAGTTCTCATCATTGCTGCTGCTGTTGTTGTTGTCGGGTTTTTATTGCGTGGATTGTCTCTCCTAAGCGTCTCGTTATTCACGTGCAGCGCATTAAAACGTTGTGTTATGAGGCGTAGTATATGATAGCAATGGTGATGATGATGATGGTAATGATGAAGGTGATGATGAAGGTGGTGATGATGATAATGATGAGTGTATTATGGTGGTGATGATGCTGATGAGTGTATTATGGTTGATGATGATGATGGTAATGAAGAAGGTGATGGCGATGATGGTAATGATGAAGGTGATGATGATGACGATGAGTGTATTATGGTGGTGGTGATGATGATGAGTGTATTATGGTGGTGGTGATGATGATGAGTGTATTATGGTGGTGGTGATGATGATGAGTGTATTATGGTGATGATGATGATGAGTGTATTATGGTGGTGGTGATGATGATGAGTGTATTATGGTGGTGGTGATGATGATGAGTGTATTATGGTGGTGGTGATGATGATGAGTGTATTATGGTGGTGGTGATGATGATGAGTGTATTATGGTGGTGGTGATGATGATGAGTGTATCATTATGGTGATGATGATGATGATGAATGTATTATGGTGGTTATGATGATGGTGTATTATAGTGATGATGATGATGATGAGTGTATTATGGTGATGATGATGATGATGAGTATATTATGGTGGATGATGATGGCAGTGTCCTGCACGCAGGGCGCCCTTCTTAGCGCCGTCCGCGGCCGTTTCCGATGCTCCGTCGAGTTTTCAAGATCCGCCCCAGCGCTGTCTCGTCCGCAACATTAACTCCAGACCACCTTCATCCGATGTTGTTACTGTTGTTGATGTGGTTGTTCGCCGTTCTTCATTGTTGTGACACCTGTGACGCTTGTGAAGAAGAGCCCATCGGATTCTATCCAGTGTAACTAAATATTCTGATTCTGTTTAAAAAAGAAAATCTGAGTTGTTGTCGTTGTTGTTGTTGTCTTCCACGTGTGGCTCAGCGCGGGGGGCACGGGAGTGCTGCTGCACCTGGACAGCATGGCCGCCCAGCTCCGTGCCCTAGGGGTCCCTGCCCAGCTGAGGGGGCTCGCCGACTCGGGATGGTTCGTGGAGCGCAGGGGGAGCGGAGCGGCCCCCGGCTGCGGAGGGGGGGTCCGGCCCGGGGCGGACTGCGGCCCGGGGGCCCCCGTTCACTCCATGCATCACGCCGTCCGGTGAGGGCGAGGTCACGGGGTCACGGGCATGTAACGTCACAGCAGCGCTCACGTGGTGACCTCACCTGCTCACTCCATGCATCACGCCGTCCGGTGAGGGCGAGGTCACGGGGTCACGGGCATGTGACGTCACAGCCGCGCTCACGTGGTGACCTCACCTGACGTTAATTCTAGATTTGAAGCTTTCGTGACTGCAAGGATTCATATTCTTAGGTTTTTTCGGTAAAGTCACGTCGGTAAAAAATTAAAATTAATAAAAGTCAAATAAAATAAAAATCACGACGTTTCGGAGGCAACACAAGCTTCCGTCTTCAGGTGGAACCGTCACAGCCACGACAGCTTTTGTTATGCAGTCTATTCTTAGTCTTAAGCCTCACCTTACCATATTAATAAAAAAAGTGTGCCGTACTTGGCCCTTCCCCTCTTCAACCATTATATATACGGAGTGGTAGCTCTTGTAATCTCTCATTTACTTGATACAGCTGTCGTGGCTGTGACGGTTCCACCTGAAGACGGAAGCTTGTGTTGCCTCCGAAACGTCGTGATTTTTATTTAATTTTACTTTTATTAATTTAAAATTTTTACCTACGTGACTTTACCGAAAAAAACCAAGAATACTCACCTGACGTGCCCGTGCTCTCTGCCCGCCGTGCCCAGGTTCTGGAACGGATCGGTTCCGGAGCGGTGCCCGCCTGCATCTCCCCCCGGGGGAGGAGTGGAAATGTTATTTTGGCTTCATCACCTTCCAGACGCTCGCCAGTGAGTGTGCTCACCTACACCCACTCCTACGCGCACCTGTACGCGCATCTATAAAAACGCCCGTACACACCTGTACGCACCTGTATGCACACCTGTATACACAACTGTACCAATACCCGCCATTCGCCACGAACTGATGGTGACATCACCATGGCGCCTGTGCCAGGCCAGGTGCACTTTGAGGCCACGTGAAGCGTCGAAGGCTCGCTGACTGACATGAGGTCACGGGACAGACCCAGCAGGTGCCATGGGTTGGCTGGCCGAGATGACTCGCAGATGCACCACCAGCTGTACCCCCCACTGTGCCAACTGTACAAAGACAAAGATCCCCCATATAGCCTTAACAGACTGTAGGGGCAAGTGCTGTTAGCGAGCACCAACTGTACGCACACCTCTACACGCACACCACTCGCCTACCAACCCCACACACCCACCCACCCAAACACCCAACCACTCAGCAACCCACTCACCTACCCAGTCACCCTCCACCCACTCCCCCTGCCCCCTCCCCTCCAGCCCCGGTGTTTGTGGCGCAATGGCTCTTCGACGAGGCCCAGCTGACCGCTGACAACGTGCAGCTGCTGGGCCCGACTCGGGGCGGCGACCAGCTGCCCTACCTGCGCGAGCTGGGACAGGAGCTGCGCGCCACCCTCCACCCGCTGCCGTGAGTGGCCGCACAAACAGCGCCGGCCACCGCCGGATGGTCCACCGAGAAATGAGTCCACCGCTGAATAGTCGACCAGCGAATAGGTCACCACAGATTATTCCACCACTGAATAGTTCACTGGCAAATAGTCGACCACCGAATAGTCAACCACAGATTATTCCACCGCTGAGTAGTACACCACTGAATATTCCACCATTGAATATTCCACCACCGAATAGTCCACCAACAATTATTCACCACCGAATAGTCCACCACTGAGTAGTCTACCACCGAAAAGTCCACCACTGAGTAGTCCACCCCTGAATATTCCACCACTGCGTAGTCCACCACCGAATAGAGGTCGTTCACCGACAGGTCGGGGAGCGTGGCCTCGCAGGGCGTGGTTATAGGGGTAGAGGGAGGGCCAGTGCTGGCTGATTTGGATGGACGCTCTGCTCTGAGGAAGGACCGTTTCCCGAAACGTTATAGAGGGGGGAGGGGGGGCACTGCTTCTGTCATCCGCGAAGGCGCAACGGAGTTGTTGAGGCGAGGGCTGCGAGTGGCACCGCTGCCCCCTGGCGGCCGGGCCGGGGAGCGAGGCCCCGGGCGGCAAGGATACACGCGAGGCACTGCAGAGACAGGCAGCGGCTCGCGCGTGAACATGCCTATGTCATGCGTCGTGTGCGGTGCCGGATTATCCTCGTAGCAAAAGTAGCTACATATGTAGTAGCTACGGGCCACGCACTTTCAAGGTCCACCCGCGCAAAATGCTTTCAAGCTATCAATTTCGTATTCTTTGGGTCTTTCGGTGAAGTCACGTGGATAGATTTCGATTTCAAGCTTTCGTGACTGCAGGGATTCATCTTCTTGGTTCTTTCGGTAAAGTCACGTAGAAGGGAAAAAAATGTATTATGTTTAATATTTATTATTTTATTATTTCCCTTCTACGTGACTTTACCGAAAGAACCAAGAAAATCACGTGGATAGGTTCAAAGAAAATAACAAAAACGACAACGTTTCGATCTCAACACAAGCGTTCGTCATCAGGAAAAGGTGACCGATTGAAACGTTGTAGAGGGAACCGGAGTGCCCAGAGAGAAGTCAGCGCCAGCGTGCTGTGTGCGAGGGAGAGACCCAGAACCCACTCCGCTGTGCTTCCATCCCACCCAGTGCCGGATGAAGCGAGTGCGGGCCCTGCAGCACATGTTATAAAGATGCCCTATATTACAAAAAACACGTAAATATTGAAACACAATTGTTTTACTTGCATAGTAAAGTAATTGTGTTTTTTAATTTGCTATACAGCCACAGAAAATACGACAAATCGCTAACCTGAAACACCCAGTCGTTCATAAAAGTTGAAGGCGGTATAGTACTGTAGTAATAGAGCAAGTGCAGAATCACTGAACCGGAATCGATAGCTTGAAAGCATTTAGCGCGGGGCCCTTGAAAGTGCGGGGCCCGTAGCATTTGTAACGTGCGTTCATTTGTTTAGCTGCCCGTTGATATTTGTCGTGTATCTCTGTGTGGCCGTGTATTTGTTTAAACAGGGCAGTCTTCTCTCCCGCGTGCCTCGCTCACACGCTTATCACGAGCAGGTAAGACTCGTCTGCGATGCAGCAACATCATCATCATCACAATCCTCATCACCTTCGTCACAATCATCATCATCATCGCAATCATCATCACCATCATCACAATCATCATCATCACTATCATCATCATCACTAACACCATCATCTTCATTGGGTTCCTTTTTAGAAAAAGGTCAGAGGTCAGCGTGCTCAGCCGGCACCGCTGGGACCCTGGGTTCGTATACGGGTTTCAGCCGCTGCCCGTGATTAGAACCGGGTTCTCAAAGTGCATTGAGTTGGGTTGACGGTGTCGACCCGTGTATCAATGACTGCGCAAAACAAACCATCGCAATGCATTTAGTTTTTGGTTTAATTTTGGCTCAAAGTCAACACTAATAATTACAAATAACGGTTTGACTGTCAACGTAGTCGCTTTTATTCTCGGTGGCAGTGTGGGTGGCAAGTGCCACTCCCTCCTGCGTGGACCAGAGGTCACTCGTGGGGGCCTCGGAGCTAGCTCTGCGACATCCACTTCCGATCTCTAACGCGGAAAAGGGTCGCGTCGCTGTTGTGCGACATTTCCCAACGGGTTCTTCGTCTCGTGACGACGCGACGCCGATTGCACAATCACAGATAAAATTGTGGATGACAAATTCAAATCCTCACTGTTGGCGTGGTACAGCAGCTGCTGCTGCTGCTGTCAATGCTGCGCTGTAGATATTGCTCGCGGCTCGCAGCTGATGCTCATCGCCCGTCCCCGTCGCCTGGGCCACTCTCGCACTCTCTCTGTCTCTCTCTCTCTGTCTCTCTCTCCCTGTCTCTCTCCCTGTCTCTCTCTCTGTCTCTCTCTCTGTCTCTCTCTCTGTCTCTCTCTCTCTGTCTCTCTCTCTCTCTGTCTCTCTCTCCCTGTCTCTCTGTCTCTCTCTCTCTCAACGAACGTCCATTCGCCACCTCCTCTCACGTCACTCCACCGCATCTCCACCTCCATCTCCTCCTCCAGCTCGGTGCAGTTGGCTGATAGCTTTCTGCTGCACCCCCCCCTCTCCCCACCCCTCTCACACTTCCCCCTCCCTCTACCCCCCCTGTCCACCCCCTCCCCCGCTCCCTAGTGGCTGGGCTGACGTCCAGGTGAAGGGGCTGACGCTGCCTCGCGCCCTGCAGTGCTGGGAGCAGAACCTCCAGCACGCAGCGTCCCGAAACGGCACCCAGCAGCAGCAGCAGCCTGCTGCGGAACGGTCACCGCCCGCCGTTGGCAGCGGCGTCGCTGGCGAGGGGGGCAGCAGCAGCAGCGGTGGCAGCAGCAGCACCAGCGCCTCGTCCTCCACCCCGGCGGAGCGGTGGGCGGCGGCGGCCCCGGCGGCCCCGGCGCCTTGCGCCTTCCGCGCTGTCGACAGCTGCCCGTGGCCGCACTGCAACCCGAGTTGCCCGGCACTGCGCGACGCGCTCACGGGCCAGGAGGTGAGCGCCATCGCCTTCCTCACCCAGCTGGGCTTCGACGTGCGCAGCATGGCCTCGCAGCTCGGCATGGACCCCGACACGCTGCTCAACGTGCTCAGCGACGGCACATAGGGGCGGGGGTGGGGGTGGGGTGGGGGGGAGTTGCGGGGAGGGGGGGCCGAGGGGCCGGGGGGAGGGGGCTGCGGCCGTCGACCAGCACGGAGACGCGGAGGGAGCCTTGCGGAGGACTCGGTGGGTTTGGAACGCGGCGTTGGGAGGACGCGAGCCGCTGGGTGGAGCGAAACGTCGGACATCGTGTTGAGCAGCACAGAGCGGTACAACCAGAAAACCACATCGGCGTGCGAATCACCCCCCTGCCCCCCCCCCCCTTTATCCTGCTATCTGAAAAATCGTTCCAGACGTCTGTGTGTTCATCACTCACGAAAAATCACGGATAACGGGACGAATCGTGCGCCTCCAGATAATCCGACCCCCGGGTGGCATCGTAAGAGGGACACGCACGTTGGGCACGTTGAACTTATTTCGCGCCGCACGTCGTAGCCAACCGTGCTAATCGGAGGTGCGGGAAAAAGGGTGACTATAGCTGCTGGTTGACTCTCACGCTGCTGCTGGGTGCACTGCCCCACCCCCCCCTCCCCCGCGAGACCCACCAAATTGATATTGATATTTACCAGAGGTAAGTATATTGAATGTTGTTTTATTAATGTAGCGCCCAGTGGAGGCAGCTTGGAGTTCTAGGACCGCCCTCCTTGGGATCCATCGGAGTGCCGGGGAAGAAGCGGAAAGAGAAGCGTGGGTGAGTGAGTGGGTGAGTGAGTGGGTGGGTGAGTGGGTGGGTTGGTGAGTGCGTTGGTGAGTGGGTTGTTGGTGACCTGCAGTGTGGTGGTGGTGGTGGCGGTTGAGACGACACGGTCCGTGTCTACTAGAGACCGAGTCCTCGACACGGGCGGAGGAATCAAGGAGCGTAGTTCGAAGGAACGGTAACCTTGGTAATAGCTAGCAGTCGCCATGGTTATAGCAGTAACCATGGTGGTAACCATGGCGATTCGATTAAGTAACAGAATCAATAAACTGACAATTCGCCACCTTACCGTGTCCGTCCCCTCCGCGTAAAAAAATATTTGACACATCCCGTGAGCCACACGGCCTTCTGTGAGTGCATCTCATCAGCAGCATTGGTTCAACGCGAGCAGAAAGCACCGGTTTCGACATTCGGTGTCTCACCAGCAGAGCCGGGCTTGCTTGAACCAGTGCTGGTGAATTGCCACGTGTTTATTGACAACGACTCTCTCTCTCTTCTTGGTTCGATGCAAAGCCATCCAACGCACGATGGTTATTTGTCTTTTTAAATCCTTTATATTAAGTTCGCTTGCTTGCTTAGGACCGTGCAAATCTTTCGGTCGTTTTTTAATCCACTTCCCGTGATCCAATCGAGCTGACATTTTCCACACAGACTCGTTGTGCGTGACAATTAATGTTCGTGAACATTTTTTAAAATTTTTTTTACACTTTTTAGGACAAAAATATAATATTTAATTACCAATTGCTTAATGGTGCAATGCAATCATCTGACCCATAGGTGGCAGCCATCTCAAGCCAGAGGACGAGAGGACTCTAGCCGCCACGCATATAAAGGATTAATAGTGAAAAACTTTGTTTTTACGGGTTATACTTTTTTTCTGCTCGGTGACATGCTGGGCGAGAAGCGTGGACAACAAATGGGGGTCTACAGACGCAGAGGTTCATCACTGCTGATGACTTGAGGTTCGCCATGCATCGATATAATCAATTTTTACGTAAACGATATGCGAACGAGTGCTGATGTTGCATTTAGGTGGATGGAGCAGACGAGGTGGTACAAACGGGAAACCAACGCAAACGCGGTGGTGCAAAAAAATCGATTCTTGAATGGAATCGTGGCACCCCCCGGATGGCTTTTCCCTCCCGAACGTTGTGGATTTTGCTCCGACTTCCCGCAGCATCGGCCCCGATTGCTGCGTCGGCGCGGCCGCAAGCCGAACGGCCGCATCTCGAACACGAAGGGCGACTCGGCCGCGAGGAGGTTTGGTTCTTGAACGTCGCTGGTCGGCGCGCCGCGAGACGCCTGTGTACGCCGCGCGACAATTGAATTCGTTTGGCCGTGTCGGGCGGTGCGGGGACTTGACGACACAAATTCGGGGCCGGATAGTTTACGTGGCCCGACCCAAAACCCCCCAACCCTGGACTCCACCGTTGGCTGTGAAGGCCCCTCTGCGGCGTTGGGCTCTACGCGGAGCCTCCGCCACGACCGTGATGACGATCGCTCTTGTCGACCGCGTCTGAACGAGACTTTGATCGCTGTACATTTCACGTGGTGTTGTATAATAAATTCATAATGTACATCCGTTCTCAATCCACTGCTGATTATTGCAATTCTCCCAAACTGTAACTTCACCACGCCAGTCAGCGGGCGGTTGGTGAATGGAGTCGGGTTCAAGGACTCGCTTCGGATGTCGCTCGCCATCGACGTTGGCTGCAGCCGGGAGTTGAACCCGGCTCGCTCGCCTGGGTTCAAGGTGCGGAGCGCTCTCCACTGCGCCAGCTCTCCAACCCCACCGTGGTGTTGTTGAGAGGCTTAAATCAAATGGTGCAGCACGTGTTTTAAACAGTTTTTGTGTTTTATATTCCGTTGGTAACCATTCAAGACGCGTCTGTGGTTTGCAATACTCTATCATTGCTGCAATAAACCGCGTGCTCACCACACCCACGTGGTCACAGCACCACGTGCTCACCCCCACCCACGTGCTCACTCCCCCGCGTGCCCTCACACCCCCGCGTGCCCTCACACCCCCACCCACGTGCTCACCCCCACCCACGTGCTCAGACCCCCACGTGCTCACACACCACCACCCACGTGTTCACACCCCCACGTGCTCACACCGCCACCCACGTGTTCACACCCCCACGTGCTCTCACACCCCAACCCACGTGCTCACACCCCCACGTGCTCTGACACCCTCACCCACGTGCTCACACCCTGTGTGCTGGCATCACCACGTGCTCAACGCTCTTGCCGCTCGTGAGAGGCAGCGTGATGGACGCAAAGGCCGATAATGACGATGATGATCAGGAAGGGTGAGAGAGATCGCATCTGGCACGATGTATTCTTCGCTGTGAATGCACACGGCGGTATTAACCAGAGCGGCAGCCGGAATCGAACCGCGAAAGCCCTGCAAGAGCAAGCGGCGAGCGCAAGCGCCACCGCTCGGCCCCGTCACCAACCCTACGAGCCCCGGAATCGTCGGTGAACCGAGAAATTCGCCACCGAGACTGAAGCCGATCGACAGCGGGTAGTTTCCCTCTATATCCGTCCACCGATGTTGAGCCGTGAGTGGGAAGATAACTCGGGTCGCGGGTTTAGGAGCGCAGCGCGCGAGGCGCTATGCCACCGCTCCCCCCCAAACCCAACACAAGCTATACACACACATAACCAGCAATGTGCAATGATGAGGGGTGGATGGGCTAAGTGTGAAGAGTGGACGATGCCGTTGCCCAGCTGACCGCTAGAGGGCGCTGTGGTTCTGCCCCGTCCCCCAACCAGTGGCTCTTAAACCTGGGGGTGCGAGACGTGGCCAGATTGAAGGTAATACAATCTAAACACTAATTAAGCACGCGCAGGTAAGTACAACTAATTTGTCCCATAAAGCCGAAGTGTTTGTGTTAACATCATACATTAGGGGCCGTCCATAAATGACGTCACGCACCTAAGGGGGGGGCAGACATTTGTGATGTGTGACGAGGGGGGGGGGGGGGTGAGAAATGTGACGTTACATTGAAATGCGCAACTTTAAATAAATATAGACAACACGTTCTACTTAATTAAATAGACTTTTAAATGTTTTATCCTACAACAGCAGAGTGCAGCGCCACATTAAATACGCACTACAATGACAATAGTTTCAAGCGATTTGAAGAATGTTTTATAATTGGGGGGGGCAGAGCTTTGTGACGTCATATTTGAGGGGGGGTCTGACTTTTTGTGACGCCGTGTGACGAGGGGGGGGGGGGGCAAAAATCGTCCAAAATCGGGTGACGTCATTTATGGACGGCCCCTTATTTCAACGATTGAAAACCAAAGGGGTGCACGGCTACAGTAAAGGTTACGAACCAACGCTTTAGACCAGGGGTCGGGAACCTTTTTGACTGGGAGAGCCATAAAAGCCAAATATTTCTAAATATATTTCATTGAGAGCCATATAGTATTTTTAACGTATAATAAACTAAATATGTCTTACTTTTAATGCGACTTCTGGTGCTGCATGGTTTTGCTGATGACCTTGTAGTCTGGTTCATACTTGGTGAGGTTGAGCTTCATGCAGGCGTGACCCGTGAAATTTATCTTCAAAACTAATTTCTGTTTACTTTAACATGACACAGTATTATTAAGCAATATCACAAGTATTTTAAAATCAGTTCCAAACTGATTTTTTTTTTTCAACTCAAAATTGTCTGGGAGCCATATGCCGTCACTGGAAGAGCCATATATGGCTCACGAGCCATAGGTTCCCGACCGCTGCTTTAGACCAACACCTCCAAACCCACAAGCAAGGGGTATTTACCTGCACGCCAGGTGTGCCTGTCTCCCATACAGGTGTGTTGTTACACATGATTGTGAGTCTGTACAGGTGGAGTGTTACCTTTGAGTGCGTATCGTATAGCGATTCGCGCTCTGTGCTACCCCTTCACGACCAGTAACGGTGGCGAATATCTGAACCGATTCTGGGCCTCCACTAGGTCGACTCGGCCTTAAATGAGTACCCGATGGGTGGAGGAAGATGACCGGGCGTGGTGTTGTGGCCACCCACGTCCCCGTGTGTTGTGTTCGGCCGTCGTAGGTGCCGCTGCTGCTCGCTAACGGCACTTGCACACCGCCTTGTGCACAGCAGCAGCGCCAGGTGGGTAAGAGAACACACGCAGGTTTAAGTCCAAGTTTGGGCTGATGACAGAATGAATGGCAGCCAGAGCAGCGACAGAAGATATCAGGCCAAAAGCAGAGAAGGGGGCAAAATGCATGCGAATTACTTGAGCGATGTAACGTCTATAATATGTGCCCAACGTGAATTGACCGCGTCTCGTGTTATTGGGATGCAATGCAGTGAAATCGCAAATCTAAATGGCAAGCGATTTCGATTCCACCCATCTCTGTTTTGAAGTTGCTGGTGCATGGGGCGCGGGAATGGTGGTGAAGTTCGGGGTAGGGGTGGGGGGCAATAAGGCATAGCGTGGCATGGGGGCCCCCCAGAAAGGATATAATTTCAAAGTAGATTGTGCAGGGGGGCCGTTCCCACGCCCATTCAAATGAGCACAGTCTGGCACGCGCCGGCAATTATGAACCTTCGTGCCGCGGCGGCCATGAATGGGCATGTTCGGTGAGAGAGAAGCGCATTCCGGCCAAGTGCAGGATTTTGTGGATTCCAAAACCTCCCAGGAATCCATCCCGATATTCACAACCACACACACACAGCCAGGCCAGCTGCTGTCTGTGGTGGGGCTTGGTGTTGGCGGGGGGGGGGGGGTATAGGGGTGATCGGGTAGGGGCGCGGGGAGGTTGAGTGATGCAGTTGCCACCTGTCCAGGTTTGATCGGACAGTCCGGTTGTTCGGAATTTGTGTTCGGGTCGTAGGAATTGAATTGCGCCGATATGTGGCGGCGTTGCGTTGGACTTTATTTCAGTTTGCTGCACAGTCTCCATAGCCCTGGGCCGACTACGAAAGGTGTCCGGGGTTGGTCCGTGGTGCGGAAGGTGGCAGCCCTAGGCAGTGGTGAGGAGGGGCAGGGTGGTGAGTGGTGTGGGTGAGTATTTGGTGTGACTGGTGAGTGGTTGAGTGGTAGTGCTGAGTGGTGGAGCATGTGGGGTGAGTGTTTACGGTGAGTGTTGTGGGGGTTCGGGATTGGAGGGGTGAATGGTAGGATGACTAGTGGGGGTCTGGGTGGTGGTAGGTGGGGTAACGAGGGGGGGAGGGTGCAGTAGCGCGCTGCACTACGAACCCGGGAACCCGAGTTCGATTCCCGCTCACGGCCAACACCAATAACAATTCTGTGAACGGGTTCTGGGCCTCCTCTAGGTCGACTCAGCCTCAATTGAGTACCTTCTGCGGTGTAAATATCGCCACTGGGGAGACAAAGGCGGCCGGGCGTGGTGCTGGCCACCCACCCCCTCGTGTGCCGTGCCCGCCTTTCATAGGTGCTCGCTAACAGCACTTGCCCCAACAGTCTGTTAAGGCTACACGGGGGTTCTCTGTCTTTGGTGGGGGTGAGGAGGAGTGAGTGGCAGCGTGGTTGGGGTAAAGGGGTGAATGGGGAAGACTGAAGAGGGCGAGCAACGGATGCATCAACCTTCATCTTCCCTTCAAACCGTCCAGACGGAGCGGTGGCGCAGTGGTTAGCACACTGCACAATGAAAATAGGCCATCTCAGTTCCATTCCCAGCCACGGCGGTCATCGGCGGTGAGCGATATCTGACCCAGGACCTGGGCTTCCTGCCACATTCAGCAACTCGCACTAAACAGCGTGGTCAAGTATGGTCAAATAATAATGAGAGTATCTTGATGTGAAGCTTTCGTGACTGCACGAATCCATACTCTTTGGTTATTTCGGTAGTCACGTAGGTATAAAATATTTTATTTTATTATTACCGAAAGAAAGAGTATGTAATAATGAGTATTATTTTTTACACATTCCATCAGCTACACGGCCTTCTGGGAGCGTATAGCTTCAGCAGCATTGGTTCATCATTTATACTGTACATTCTGGGCCCGGTTTTCACATTCAGTGTCTCATCAATAGCAGAGCCAGGCTGGTGAACGGCCAAATGTTGACAGGCGAGAACCTCTCTCTGTTACGCATGGGTCCTATATACGTGTAATACACAACACAATAATCATCATTCGCGTCCTGACGGAGACGATAACAAAATCACCTCGCTGGCCAGTCCGGCTCGGTGAAGGTGGGGTGCATAGATGCCGGAGCATAGTACAGCACAACAATGGATTTGTCTGCACTGCCATCTGTTGGCAATGTTGGCCCGCAGCAGCCTATAGCATCCTGCTTTGTGCATAAATAACAAAACACAAACTCAACACATTCGTAAAAAGCACCGTGCCCATTTAAAAAGGATGACATACCTACAAACATCACCCAGGAATGTCTGTCATTAACGCTCGTGACGTCACTCCACATCCACCAGCCTCCCTCATTAATATTCATGAGCAGGTGACGTCCTCCAAATGGACACCCTCCCCTTCACTAATAAGCATGCGCAAGTGACGTCACTCCACATCGAACAGCCTCCCTCATTAATAATCATGAGCAGGTGATGTCCTCCCTACGGACCCCCACCATTATTATTACCTACTTTGAGTCAAGAATGTCTGTGTGCAACGCTCGTGACGTCACTCCACATCGAACAGCCCCC